ATGGAGTTCGAAAACGACTACGGATATGATGAAAGTAGAATGCATGGCGCATGGTGCTAATAACCTCGCGGGAGGGGCCCACCTTTAAACACTTGTCGAGTCCTGAAAACTGTATAGAAGTGAATAAGGAACAACCTTGTCAACACCCTGTAAGCCTTGCCATCGCCTGTCTAGCAATTTGTAACCTAGTGTCAAGCTTGTCAAACTTGTGTTGAACACCAACTTGATATCCGATATATTACACTGTATGAAGCGTACGTGGTGTAATGGCAAGTGGCACGCTTACCACGCGCGCAGTCAGGGGTTCAAACCCTGGATCGGCTCCCGCCCAGGCCAACCAAGCCCTCTACCCTCTGCGTACAGCAGTTTGGTCTCGGAGGACAGGAAGTGTGAACTCACATGTGCATCGGCTGGCCCCGCAAGTCATTGTATAGGCCACATCGCATTCAATAAGCCACTACGATTCTGAATGGAAGTAGAATGCGTGCCGCATCCCACAAAGGGATTGATCAACGGCGAAGACTTTATCCTTTGCTCTCTTGTAGCAGTAAACAGCTGCAAAGCTTAGCGCGAGCTTGCGGTTCTTGACAGGATTTTACGGAACTTGCACTTTGAGACACGGTTGTCTGATATTCACAGTATAAAATCATCACAGGTTAAAGGCAGTTGGCACGATAAATCCTCCAAGACGAGTAGGACCAATACGCCTGGCAGGACGGAATTCCGCGACCCTGAGCAGGCGCTGCATAATGCCTTTTCCAAGGAAGGTGCCCTTATAAGGGCCCTATCAAGCCACAACATACCGACCCAAACGCCCGCCCGCCCACAAATGGACGACCGTTCCTGACGCTCTAATCGATTTCATTTGCTAAGACAACTTATGAAGGCGAAGGCATGGTGGGGATGGAATTGGCGGCTTCGACGATGCGTGCATACTCGTGGCGAAGATTCTTTCCTGGACGTGTCGAGGAACGGGGGGCTATTCTTGGCCGAGGGTTTTGACCGTTTCGCCGTCAAGAGTGTTCCCAAGGCACGAAAAATTGATTTTATCGCAAGTCTTCTCTCGGTGCTCGCCTATGTTCACACTGAATAGTACGGCATGAACTAGCCTACTAGTATTTAAGGCCTAGCACCGAATCATCAGTGTGCTTGAAAATTTTGTATGCGAGCGCTTACGGTGTTTTCCCCTTCCCCTGTCAGAACGTTAGCATCGCCGCATCCCAAAAGAGCCGAGCAAAGTCGGAATTCTTTGTTTTTAGCTATTTCCCTAGAAGATAACGTCACCTATTAAGGTACTGTCTGAGTCCTGACATACCTTAGTTCTTGGAATTCTTGTGGAAGTTGCTTACATACGTGGACCACGCAAAGAGAATGCTTCTAGCCTACGTTGTCGTTACTATTAATCCACGGAGTAGCAGAACTATAAAAAAGGCGTAGTACTGCTTCAGTGATGAAGTTTTTCGCATGACGGACTAAATGTTGCCCGAGGCCTAAGCGCTTGTACTCGCAGGATTTATACGTCAGAGTGACGTGAAGCACGGGTTATTCACCGTTTCTCATCCTTCGCCTTGGAGAAATACCCACACATTTCAATGGTGATTCTTCCACATTTCCTTGCCACCCAATGTTCAGTACTTGGTGACGTTTTGCTCATATAGAGTCCATGTCTGCTGTCATTTCATATTTCAAAATCGATGATATGCGAAAATATGAATGAAAATCAATCACAAATTGTAACCATACCATACATATGGTTTTTGTTAATTTTATATGTTTTCAGATTCGTTGACCAGGAACGTCACTTGCCATTCGTGCAAACAACGGCACAGCGACATATGGGATCTTCTGAAACACTGCTATACCGCCCATGGGCTGCGAATCTGCCAGGTATTTGGGTAAAGCCCAGAGAAGCGGCGTTTACAATTGACGCTATTTGGGGCGACTTCTGGGTATCAGGGCAGACAGCTGCTCAATGGGGACGGTCCGGGATAAGGGGCGTTGGTAGTGGTATTGAAATTTGGAAGAGAAGTTGTCAGGTGACTCGTATGTATAGAGAAAATGCCAAAGGAAACGTCAGCTATACCTTAGAAGGGCCCCTCCAGCCTCAAACAATAGTACTGGTGAAAAGCCAAAGGACCATGTTGGGACTAGTACTGTAGGCTGATCCTCGAAAAAACCCTATGACCCATCAAAGGCAGTTGGCACCATGATTTGGTGCTCGGCCTAAAATGCTAGTGGGGCGCTATATAGTGGGAAATGGCTCTGCGAAGAGAGAGCCTCCGTTCTCAATGTGTTAGAAATCAGTTTTGGCGAGT